GCACATCTCCAGGTACATCATCATCTCCTGTAGCCTTTCCCTTCCTCATTTCCTTGATAGCTTTTTCCACCTCACTTTGTAAAATATATGGTCCTTTCTCGTCTGTATCTACTTCTTCTTCGGGTTCAACTTCTAAGGTTTCTGGCCGATTAGGTCGATCATATAGTTCTGTAATATAATTTTCCCAAATTTTCAGCACTTGCCTTTAATCTATTATTCTATTCCCCTGGGAGTCTTCGATGCCAGTATTATGAATCCCATGATTCTCTTTCCATCCTAGTTCTTTTGTCTTCATGTACATCAAATCATAACATCATGTCCTTTGAAATTCTATAATGTCATTACATATCTTCTCAAGATATTCCTTTTTGGTCCTGTCCGTGGCTCTTTTTAATTCATTCCTCAGTCTCCTGTATTTCCTCCTGCCTTCTTCATTGTTGACATTCTTCCATTTCCTTCACTCCTCCATTTTACTCATCATCTCCTGTGTCACCCATGGTTTTCTTGCTATCTTCTCAACTTTACCAACCAATTCAATAATAGTATTGTAATGTGTTGTGTTACTGAAGACGCTGTAGAGATGGTTAATTGGTTTATTTAACAACCTACAAGTAACGGCTACAATTAATTATCACAATGTTACAGGTTTCCACACTTTACAAACCCTACAACAAAATCTCTTCACACTATCGTCAAGAGTCTTCACGTATTAATAAGGTGGGAGCTATACAAGTCTCCCTGAATTACACACTCCAAATATAACTGTACTACAGCACTCACTAAGTCTCGAAAGCACACAATAAGTCTTCCGCTCGCTGACTTCTTAGTTATCGCACACGCGTCTGTAACTCGTAACTTGCGAACTGAGAACTGTCGTCAGCGGCTGTGTAGCTCCCTTATAAACCCTCAGCAGGGCAACGAGAAAACCACGTGGTAGGCATCACTGTTGCTACCGTCGTCTATCGCAACCACTGTTTATCCACGTTGCCTAGTGACCAGTGCGCTGGGACTCGGCTCACTTCGGCTCTGCTCAGCACGTCACCGCGGGGAGAGTGGTGGGGTGATGACTCGCCTATTACGAGAGCGCTACGTTACCGCCACGTGCCACTGGGGAGGTAGGGGTCCTCCGTTGCGCAACATGTCACAGTATCTAACATGCATTTTTTTAAATTGTTCCTGAAGTGAATAACTGTGACCTCCATAACAGTGGACACTGTGTCACGCTTTGCATGTCCTGTCACTCCCACAAATCTCTCGTGTTTAATTTCATCTTGCCCTGTTTTCACCTGACACTGTATGCTATCCCTACATTATCAAATAACTTAGCATTACATTGCATTGACACCAGACATCCCTTTGAAAGAGTACCTTTGCATTGCATAGCAATTAATGGCCAGATGAAGGGTCAAAGTAGCCAGAATTTGTGAACTGTTCCATCTAAGTCATTACCTGATCATGACACCGATCAGCAAAATTTAGGAATAATTGTAGTACTGAATATTTCTTTTATTTCTCCAGTTTTAGTATGTAGCGATGCACAATAAGCCAGACTGAAGCATTTGCTCCTGTCTCAATAATGCATTCACTTTATTCTTTTCATGCAGAAAACATTAAACTGTTAAAAGGTAATTCTTCACTAGAGTTTATCACAGTTCAGAACATATACTGACTGTAGATCATAAAAATACGCTACAATGTACCTTCAGAACCCGGACACTGAACCACACTTCTGGTTTCTCTAGAAATGTCAGGTTCAGGTGAGTGATGTGTGGGAATGGTGCCTCCATATTCAGTGTGAACGTTGCATAAATCTTTCCACTGATGTTCAGCTTCTCCATTGCCAGATCCAGATCCATCCCAACACTAAAGAGTGAAAATGTACTGTAGGATTCAACTGTCATCACTAGTCAATAAAGTTGTATTTAAACAGATACTGCATGAAAACAACTATTTAAAAATGTGCTTGATTTGGGGTAATATTTCTGTGCATTAGTCAAGGCATATCTCCTTTGGATTTGAATATAATTAATAACAGCAAGGGGAAGATCTTAAAGCAATTAATTTATTTTACAGTTTCTTTAGAGATGTTAATCCCTTCTATATGGATAATTCTGGAATTTGACAGTGCCAAGCAAAGGCATCTTCTGCCTGCAACATTTTGACAACAATGCTGTCTATTGTTGTTTACTGTATACCAAAGAATTCGTCAAAGGCAAGGGATGCTTTTAAAATAACTTAAGATGAAAAGGAATTAAGCTGGTAATGGAACATTAGCCGCATTCAAATAGGACTCAGATAAATTATTTTATTAGATAAAGTATGTTATTAGATATCTAAGAAATAAAGGCAGTATTAAGTATACGTATTTTCCATTGAACAAGCATCATGCAGATCAAACATTATATATAAGATATTAATAATGGGGCAGTCTACACAACAATATTTCTGAGAAAACAAAACAGATACTATTGTATCAACATTTGTTTATTGGCTGCTGACGCTACATATTTCTACCCTTATGTTGGGTCATCATCAGGCATATAATAACACTAATATCAGTTCTTGAATTGCAGCTTAATTCAACATGAATTCATATTGTGTTCTTATAAGTTTTATATACATAATTTGAATTTACAGTTAAATGGTAAAATTTAAAATTAAAATTAAAATTGTACAGAAATACTTGTAATATATACTGCAAACCTCTTTCTAACTTTGTGACCACCACATATTCATATACTGTTCTTGGTGGTAGGAATAATGATGTTGGGGGGTGCCTATGTGCCAAATTCATATTTCATAAACTAGGTCCTGTTGGCTTGACCTTCCTGCAGTCATGTGAAGCTTATGCTCATTATACTGTGTATCACTTAGCAGGTTGATTATACTCAGAGTGGTGTATTCCAAGTTTTTTGATGTTATGTGTGAAGGCAGTTCCCGTGATGCTCTTATGTCATAGCGGTTAAGTCTGAACTGCTTGTTCGGGAGTATCACACTCCACAACATAATTATTCCTATCATCAAGAACAATATATCACTATGTAGCAGTCAAAAAGTTTTAAAGAGGTTTACAATTGTAAATTACAAATATTTCTGTACATTTTTAATTTTAATTTTAACTGTTACCATTTAACTGTAAATTCGAACTATGTATATAAAACTCATAAGAACACAATAGGGATCCATACTAAATTGAGATGCAATTCAAGAACTAATACTAGTATTATTATACGGCTGATGATGACCCAACATAAGTATCAAATTTTAGAGGCTGCAGTGTTGGTATTTCTGTTTGGAGGAATTTATGGAGTTTGCCGCTGAGATGGCTTCAGGTGGTACAACATAATGTATATACTAAGTTTCATGATGATCAACACAGGCATTGACTCAAAAATTTCAGAGGCTGCAGTGTTGTACTACTACTGATGGGGGGAATTTATGAAGTACGCCACTGAGATGGACTCAGGTAACACAATATACAAGGTCGTTCAAATATGACCAGGACTGATTTGTGTGTAAACAAGCCGCACTATGCAGCAGCTGTGCAACCTTGAGAGAGTGAAGCCACAACCTCCACTCTCCCTCCTGTTCGGGTTAGAACCTGTTCAGTCCTGTCTGGAAGTTGCTAGAGTGATGAGCAAACAGAAGGTACCGCGGAGTGTGGAACGATGGATTGTGATCAAATTCCTCGTTGGACAAAACGTCCTGTCAGCTGAAATTCATGACAGACTCCACCAACAGTATGGGGAAGAGTGTCTCTCACGGACCTGTGTGTTTGAGTGGTGTAAGTGCTTCAGAGAGGGCAGAGAGCACATGGAGAATGAACTGCATGATCGTCGGCCACAAACATCCGTCACTGAGCCAAACATTGATCGTGCAGATGCCCTTATTCGTGAGAATAGGTGCATCACTATCAAGGAACTTGGAGCAACACTGTCCATCAGTGTTGAAAGTGTACAAGACATCTTGAAATAACACATGCACTATCGCAAGGTGAATGCACGGTGGGTACCATGCACGCTGATGGATGTGAACAAAATGGTGTGCATGCAAACTGCCAGTCGTCTCCTTCAGCAGTTTTAAGACAAAGGTGATGCATTTTTGAAGTTTATATTGACCACCGATGAAACGTGGGCGCACTACTTCATTCCCAAGGCCCAGCAGTCATCACACAAGTGGCAGCATACCAGTTCTCCCAAACCCCAGAGAGTGCTGAGGAGCTGCTCGGCAGGAAAAGTGATGGCAACGTTCTTGTGGGACTGGCAGGGGGGTATCCATGTAGACTTTTTGACAGATGACAGAACAGTCAATGCAGCTTATTACTCAGACCTAATGGCAAAAGACGTGAAGGAAAAGGCCTGATCCAAGCAGAAGACAAGTGGAAAGCGGTTAGCCTTCCTTCAAGACACTGCACGCCCCCATACAGCCAAGACAACAGTGAAAACCCTCCGGAAATTGAAATGGAACCTTCTGACACATCTGCCGTACAGTCCCGATTTGGCCCCAAGTGATTTCTGCCTGTTCAGAAGGCTCAAATCAGACTTGCAAGGCATGCAGTTTGTGGACAAAGATGCCATCATCCAGATTGTTTGGGAGTGGATACGCCGCCAACCACAAGCCTTTTTTTCAAAAGGGCATCAGGATGCTTCCAGAAGGTTGGAAAAAATGTGTTGACTCCGGAGGGGAGTATGTTGAAGACTGACATGTGAAAGTAAGTGTCTGGCAAATATGGTTTATAAAAAAAAATTCATCCCGGTCATATTTGAACCATCTTCTATATACTTAGTTTCATAAACTTGTAGTCCTCTTCCGTCTCTAATGCAACAAGATCAACATAGATTTAGATCACACTAATTTACATTTAATTCACTAAAATGATCATTAAATTGTTTAGAACGTCATTAAAATATATATACCTTCTGTGTTTATGCACTACATGTTTTGGCCACAGAGGGCCATCTTCAGGCAACACATTTTTTTTAAGGAATCCACTTCACTGTCCATTTTGTCAGTAGTACTCTTAAAGTATTGTGACGTGGATGGCACAAAGGGAAGCGGGGATCACGTGAACTCTGCGTTTCCTCGAGTGATGTCACATACCCCTACTCCTTCCACTAGTACGCAATGCTCGGTAAACACCCCTCCACCGCCGTGACGTAACGGAAGAGCAACTGTGTTTGGCAACCATTGCCACGGTGACACATCAAGGGATGCCACGGTTGCTATGCAGCAATAAACAACTATCGATAGCGTTGCCAGCAACACCTGTAAACACGGCGACTAGGCAACAATGAAACAAGGCGTTTTCCCGTTGTCTGGCTGAGGGTTTATAAGAGAACTATACTGCCTAAGGAGAGCCACCCCGTGTGGAGGCGGGGTCGAATACCTCCACTGTGACCCTGTGAGTCGTAGGAGGCGACGAAATGGGAAGTCTCAATTCTGAGACAGTGAAATATCATCGCGAGTCCCAAGGGACTCGGACCCGAGTAAGACTGCGCTGGCAATGGCCAGCAGCATATGAAAAAGACAGACCCGTCCTCTCGTCAGAGAAGGCGCCCCACAGAAACAAGACCGTAACTGTCAAACGGTAATAATTAATATCTGATCATGAGCCCAAAATGGGGCTCGACACCAAGACTTACTGACTGACTGACTCAGTCGCAATGTGACTTTGACTTTGACTAAGGAGAGTCGTAGGATGTGACAAAAAGGGAAGTCTCAATTCTGAGACAGTGAAATATCATCGCGAGTCCCAAGGGACTCGGACCCGAGTAAGACTGCGCTGGCAAGGGCCAGCAGCATATGCAAAGGACAGACCCATCCTCTCGTCAGAGAGGGCGCCCCACAAAAATAAGACCGTAACTGTCAAACAGTAATAATTAATATCTGGTCATGTGCCCCAGATGGGGCTCGACACCAAGACTTACTGACTGACTGTCAGTCGCAATGTAACTTTGACTTTGACTTGACTAAGGAGTCAGTCAGAGTCAAAACCCGCGTGGAGGCAGGATCTAATACCTCCATCGTGACCCTGCGAGTCGTAGGAGGCGACAAAAAGGGAAGTCTCAAAAATGAGACAGTAAAATATGGTCGAGAGTCCCAAGGGACTCAGAACCGAGGAAGACTGAGCTGGAAAGGGCCAGCAGCATATATAAAAGACAGACCTGTCCTGTCGTCAGAGAAGGCGCCCCAAAAAAGAAGACTGTAACAGTCAAGCAGTAATAAATATCTGGTCATGAACCCCAGATGGGGCTCGACACCAAGACTTACTGACTGACTGACTGACTGACCGTCAGTCGCAATGTGACTTTGACTTTGACTAAGGAGTTAGTTGAAATATAGCAGCAGTCGTGGGATGAAGACCCAAACGCGTGGTTGGAAGATCTGATGTGATAATTTGTGATACTGCCGGAGGCAGTAATTGTGAGATTGTAAATTGTATAAATGTAAGAGCGAATGTGCAATAAATTCGCTATATCAAGTAAGGCGTGAAGTTACTTGTCGTGTGACATACACCCAACACGTGACAGTATGTTATTGTTATTATTATTAATTTTGGTGTTACAGGATGTCTGTTCCTCCTATCTTTTGTATTGCAGCCGCTCTGTGCCCCATTAGGTGTCCTGCTCCCATTAAACATTTTAACAAACATTTTAGTGAATTAAATGTGTATTAGTGCCATCTAAATCTATATTGATATTGTTGCATTAGAGATGGAACAGAACTACAAGTGATACTTCAATGCAAGAGGATACTGAAACACAAGATCAGTTTCATAAAGATTGGTTCAAGCATTCAAGTAATATTACATTTATTACTTAAACGTTTTGAGAGGGCTGATGGGGGAATTTAACGAAGTATGATGGCATGATATACATACCAAGATTCATGAAGATCGATTCAGGTGTTGAGAGGTTGCTAGGGAGGTATACAAATAAAGACACACACATACAGCAAGGCAATCTTATAAGCCCTATAATAAAATAAGGAAAACAGGCTAAAGAATGACATTTTAATTACGTCTTTATTATTAGTACTTTTGTGCTGTGAAAGCATGTTCACTTTAGAAGTGGTCCATTTCATTTTACTGCTAGAGAGTCTACTAAACTTTACACAATTTCTTTTCATTTAGCTAGGATCCACTAAATCCTGGCTGTTCCTCTAGTGAGTTGATTACCTGCCTTACCCTTTGCCAAAAAGTCTTGACCTGATAACCATCTGGAAATCATCACTGTCAAGACTCACGTCTGCTTCCAGTGCCACTTGATGATGCACACTCAGTGCTAGGCCGCTTGGAGGTTGCTGAAGACTCCTTGCTGATAGTGGGATACGTTTCCCTTGGTTCACATCAAACACCCGCACAGTTTTCACATATGGTGTCTGCTCCCCCAAGGTGAACTGCCTCAATTCAAGGCTCTCTGTATAAAGTCAAACGTATTATATTACAGGGAGGTCGTCTGTGAGCATGCTGCAAATCATTGTGTCAGTCAAGCAGGAGACACTCCTTGCGTCAGCTCTTTCTGCATGTGGTCAGATCCACAACATAGTCAACAAACCCATTTGTTGGATTTGCAGTTCTCACAAAGGTGGTTATGAAGAGTTCTACCTTCTGCGACATAGCACTAGGTAGGCCAGTGAAAGTCAATCAACATCCTGAAGACCGAGATGACATATTCCTCCGAAACATCAACTGACTTTCACCAGACTACATGGCGTTGTGTCCAAAACGATATAAAACTTCAACAAGCCCATGGGCCAAGAAATCATAACAGAAAACTCTCAGATCACATTTGATGCCAAAAGTGGTCCTTGTTGTTAAGCACACATTCCTTGCATCATCATAAAGTGTTCACACCAATGCGCTGAGGTTCCTTTTTGAAAATAGGTCGAACTTGAAGCTTAAACTCCAGTCTCCTTTGAAAGGCATCGGTTATATTTTCAAGCAGCATGTTCAAGCTTAGCGCCAATTTACCTCCGGTGAGCACTCAGCATTTTTGTTTGGTATTTTCTTTGCCCAGTCACAAGACAGATTCTCTGCATTTATTTTCATTGCATGAAGAGTTTTAATTTTATATCTCTTAACTTTCTGAAATTTATATGGGAGTTTTTCCCTTGCAGTTCACACTCATATTGTACGTGAACACTTGTACCCATGTGTAATTCTCACATGGCATTTCAACACAGGAAGTAACAAGACTGACTGAATGTTTAATATAGTAGGAGGGACTTGTGATTATAGTTCACAGGAACTTAACACATAAGCTAACTTCTTGGTAACTAATCGGAAATTTGTTGGGTCAACAGAGGAGAAAAACTGAAATTAATGTGTACAGGCTAATAGCCAGGGAAAAATTGTATTGTGTATAGGCCAGAGTTTCCCCAAGTTTTTTTTAATCCAAAGACCACTTACTACATGGATTTTCTATGTCAGACCACCCAAATATTACAAACAAATAACAAACTAAGTGGCCTGTAGTCTGCAAGCGAACTATACCAACCGAGCGACCACTGCTTGTCGGCGAAGTTAGTGCCAACTTTTGCAGACAGAGGGTGTCAAGTGGTCAGCACAATGGATTCCCATGACCGTTAATCTCGGTTTTCTTGACCAGAGCCGCTATTTCCTTGAAATAACTCCTTGGTTATCCTCATGAGGCTGAGTGGACCCCGTTCCAGACCCACTACTTCTCAGAAAATCTGGTGGCGCCGGGAATTGAACCCGGGACCTCTGGATCTGTAGCCAGGAACTCTGGCCATTAGACCATAGAGGCGGTCTCCACCCAAATATTAAACAATAAATTTCAAGAATTTTTAATTGAATGACAATGAAACTTAATCAAAAGTTACACCACCATGACTTTCAAAATGAAAACAATACAAAGATTTTGCCATGCAAATCAGAGGTTTAATTACGAACAAACAGAAGACATTGACCCTGAATTGTTTTCATGGACCATGAGCCTGGGAAATTCTAGCTGTTGGCATGCAGCCTACACGATGAGTCAATGCACACAGTGTGTTTGTCCCTCTCAGACGGCTGCAGGATCTGAGAGCACCTTCAGATGACCTTCCTACAGTGTTCGAATGTAAATACTTAATGCTTTATTATGTTATGATACATCTACACTTCTTTAGGTCATGACATCATACACTAGGACTAATTTTTTTATAATTTTGCCCTGCAATGCAATCTGTTGACGAGTTGTGGCATTAAGATTCTGAAGCTTCAGTTGTGGCTGTCTATAATTTCAGCACCGCTGCATCATGTGTTCTGACCTTGTATTGAACAGTACTGTTCTGACGCTCGTCGGAAAATGGCGGATGAACAGAGCGTCAACATCAAATTTTGTTTGAAGTTAGGCAAAACAGCCGGAGAAGCATACGAAATGATGAAAAGTGTGTATGGTAGTGATTGTTTGAGTCGCTCGAACATTTTTGATAGTATGCTGTATTTCTTGACAGGGAGGAGACTGAAGGCGCTCCACGTGCATCAAAGCCGATAACAAGTCGCACTAAAGAAAATGTGAAAAAAGTGACCGAAATCCTTGCATCAGACAGATGTGTTTCTGTAAGACTCATCGAGGAGCTTTTGTGAATATCAAAACGTACTCTGCATCAAATTTTGACCGAGGATTTGGGCAAACGAAAGGTCTGTGCGCGGTTTGTATCGCACGCGCTGTCAAGCGATGAAAAACATGCCAGGGTGGAACACTGCAAAGACATGTTACGGTCGGCACAAAGTGATACTAAATTTACAAAATCCATTTTTACTGGTGACGAGACATGGTATTTCCAATATGAACCTCTCACAAAGCGGCAGACTGCAGCGTGGTTGAGCCCAAAGGAGCCAAAACCAAAGAAAGTGCGCATGTAAAAGAGTCGAGTAAAGACACTGCTAACCGTTTTCTTCGATTTCAAAGGAATCATTCACAAGGAATTTCTGCCAGAAGGTCAAACAGTGAATTCTGATCATTATCTCAGAGTCCTCAATCGCTTGTGGGCGGGAATTCTTCGAATACGACCTGAATATCGAGAGCAAGGTTCGTGGTCGCCCCACAAATTGAAGATCGTGCGCTATTTTTTGGCCATAAAAGGGATCACAGTCCTTGATCATCCTGCGTATTCGCCAGATTTGGCTCCAGCAGATTTCTGGTTGTTCCCAAAAGTTAAGGAGACCATCACAACACCATCCAGGACATCCAAAGGGAATCAACCGCAGTTTTAAATGCCATTAAATAAAAGGAGTACAGTGACTGTTTTCGAAAACTTTTCAATGGATTCAAGCTATGTACTGATTCAGAAGGAGACTATTTTGAATAAAAAGAGGGAAATTTTGAAAATAATTCATGTCTTGCATTTTCAATGAACACAGTCCTAACAGAACCCGGACACTGTGTAAAACTGGAAATGATGCATTTATATTGTTGTCTTCTTGGTTGTGATCCCATGTAAGCTGGTAGTTAGCGGTATCCGTAGTCTAGGGGTAACGTTCCCACCTCGTGACTCAAGGTACGCGGGTTCAAACCCGGCGGAGGTCGTGGAATTTTTAAGGGCGGAAAAATTCAGGGAACAAGTCCTCCGGGAGGGACTTTAAGCCGTGGGTCCCGTGTCGTAGCTTAAAAGAACCTTATGCCTCAAGGAGGCATCTGAGCCAAATTATAAAGGGCATTTCTCGCCCAACAACAGCCTTTAACGCCTCTGGTAGATGGGGGAAGCATCTAGATACCGCTGAGCCAGTAGAGGCCGAACTCGCTGGCTGAGTCGGGACTGATGGCACGCACCAGTATCGGTAGGGTATAGAGACTGGTAGAATATCACAGGGGGACGTACAATAGACCACTGGTCGCGGTGCATGGGGAAACCCACCCCCTCCAATAATAACAACAATAATAATAATAATAACAATAACAATAATAATAAGTTGGTAGTTGGGTATCAATGTTTTAGTGGAAAGTGCGGCCTCCATCTTCAGGGAAGATGTCATCCAAGTTGGAAAAATGGTAGGAATTATGTTTCAGTTGATGTGTGTCTTTCATTCTTTATTTATTTCTTTCTTTGCAAGAAAGAAGCATGAAGCAGGCCGCAAGGAAAGAAAGAAATTCAGACTACAACTATATCTACTTCTACCACCACCACTAGCTCTGTCTATGGCTCTACAGCCCAATGTTGGACCTTGGCCGCTTTTCACTTTCTTGATCTTCTACATTTTCCGTAAGACTCCTTCGACGGGGGATCAGCCAGTAACAAGTCCGCTACCTGCACACACAGGAGAGCATGAACACAGAATAAATGCAGATATCCATGCTTCAAGTGGGATTCGAACCCACGAACCCAGTGTTTGAGCGGCCAAGACAGTTCACGTCTTAGGCTGCGCGGCCACTGAGATCAGCTTCACAACCATCCCCGCTTTTCTGAAATTAAAAGTACCTTTTGTGTAACCACAAGAGACATTTCTCTAATATGTATCGTGTAACGTGTCACGGTAAGTATACAATGTCAGAGACAAAAAGAACAGCGTCAGAACGAGTCTCTTGAGACCTTTCTAAATAAAAAACGCGTCGCGTTCAGAACATATAGGTCAGAGGCGAATCTCTCTCTCTCTCTTATTGCTCCCAATAGAGCAATGGGCATCCGCCGTGAAACGCTTTGTTTCACTTTAGTTCCTTAATCCTAAGACAGTCAGTAGGACTCCTTGGACGGGGGATCAGCTCTTCACAAGGCCGCTACCTACACGAATACGGAATAAACGCAGACATCCATGCCTTGAGTGGGATTGGAACCCAAGATCTCAGCGTTCGAGCGAGCGAAGACAGATCATGCCCTAGACAGCGCGCCAACTGAGATCGGCTCAGAAGAGAACACTGTGACAGCAATAATCTTAATGTTAAGGTGTACATAGGCTTACTGGTGAAGAGGAAACAATATTCACTAAAATAAGAAGCCAATACGAATCTACGTTACTAAGGCCCATCTACTGTATGAACCAGAGAACGTCACTCCATGTGCAGGCAATCACACGAAAGAAAAATCCTGTTTACGTCATATCTGAATTTCCCACAGACACATGAATGTCAGAATATAGTAACATTCTAATGGTCAAGTAATGACTGTCTAGGTCAAGGGTCTCCAAACTACGGCCCGCGAAAGAATTGTGCAGAAATGCGCCAATTGAACTAATTTTCCAATGAGTACTGGTAAAAAAATACTTGTTCACAGATTTCAAATTCATTAATTAAGATTGTGTTTAAAATATATTCATATTCCATATTATGTTAATATCAATTTTCACAATTTTACTAATTCTGGACCGTATACTGCGCGGTATTTCTTCGTACTTGTTCGGCCTCGATCTGTAGTGTCACTTCGTGGCAATGTAGGTAGCGCGAGCAGTTCGTTACTAGCCGTCTTGTGCACAAGACTT